ACATGGGAGTGACATTAATTCCGATGAAAAAAAATTCCTTGTTATTTTTCATCGTACGCCCAATATCTTATACATATATTGTATATTGTACGTTTATTGATAAAGTTCTATAATGTAATGTCAGAGATTTGTAATTTTATTTCTTCTTGCTCGTCTTCTTTTGAATGGTTTCATCTCCAACGAAAATACCTTTTTGATTATAAGGCTCTGGTTTTCTATGTTCTCTTATTTGTGCCGCAAACCTATACAATAATTGCTTATCAGTGCCACTCAAAATGATCTTAGTCGGCGTTGGTACGGTACACTTGAGGCCAGATGGAATTTCCATTACAACAGGATTAACATAGCCAACTTCAAGATAAAGTTTACCATCGGATTCCAAACTAGCTCTGTATCCAACACCAACAAATTTCAGTGAAACCCTGTAACCCTCTGAAACACCTTTAATGTAATTCGCGATTAGAGCTCGAGTTGTACCCCACATCGTTTTTTGTTCTTTATTTTCAGGATGTTGAACTGAAACACGAAGCTTTTTATCAAAATCACTTTCATCAATAAAATCATCTTCATTTGTTATAGGTTTTCTATCTTCAGGTTTTACATAAGGTACTTTTGATTCATAAAATTTGAGATGAATATATGGTTTAAGCGGCATAGAATGTGCACCTAATGGTCCTGATATTGTTAAAGTTGTAGAATTTAAATCAGCCTTAACGCGTGGTTGAGTAATTGGTGTCTGGTCATGTATAATTGAAACCTCTGGAGGGTATCTAATAAGTTTACGGCCTATTTTTGATGCAATAGGCTGCGTAGCTGATAAAAATCTTTGTGGATTAGACCCGCATTTGTTTAGAAATGATAATTTTTTGTGTCGAATGTCGAAATAGCATTTTTTGATGGAATGCATGGCAAACGAATATCAAAAAATTTATGATACGTATTGACCAATAGATTTAAAGTGGCAAAAGTTTCATTTTTGGTAATTTAAGTTACGTTCTTGATGCGTTTTAATAATTTGAATTTTATTGGTTAATTAATATGTTATCGTTATGCGTTATTGTAGTCGTTATGTTACGTATCAATTGTGTGATTAATATTTTTTGAATAAAAAATATATAACTGAAATTTAGATTTAAAATTACACGTTCGTATTAAAATTTTTTTTAAATACGTATAATTTAAGTTACGTAGCAGGTAAATTTGCCTGTTTATATTAATAAAAAATAATTAAATAAAGGAAAAAAACCAATTATACACTATATATATGGCAAATCCATGTAGCAAAAAATTTTTTACTTGAGGTTTGGGATCGGGCGATGGTTAGCTTATACCAAAATTTTGCAAGGAATTTTTTTCATAATCGAAATTTTGAGAAACAATACCCTCGTGTGTATACACTAGTGAACAAATAGTAATTGCCTTAAATAAATACTGTATATAATAATAATAATAATAATAAAAATACAGTGTGACGATAATTAGAATATAGCTTTTATTGGTGTATTAAAATAAAACATTTAATAAAATTCTACGTACACTAAAAAAGCTAGCTTTAAATAATACATTATAATAAAACATTTAATAAAATTCTACACTAAAAAAAGCTAGCTTTAAATAATATATTATAATAAAAAAACTGCTTAAATCTAAACGTATACTGTATATACTGTATATGTTATTTATACTATATATATATGTTATTTATACTGTATAATAATAATATATACTATATAATATTATATATAACTTAGTTATAATATATAGATGTTAATTAACAATAAAAAAATTTGCCAATTCAAATTTTTTTTTATATAACGATAATCATGGCTATAATTTAGCACTTAATATTCAATCTATCCGTCTTAAAAATTATAGAGTTTCTAAATAACCAATAAAAATTTGGCAACACACAAATATTAGAAATATTAGGTACGCCTATAATAATCTTTGATTACAGTATTTTCGCGTAATAACGCCCATGAACATAATGCATGCCAAATTTTGGAATTACATCCTTGCGCGAAAATACGGTATATAACATGTTTGTTAATTGTGAAGAAAAAATTTTAATAATAATTTGTTGTTTGAAATTTTAATTCGACTAGTAAAAAATTATAAACTATTAATATTCTTATATTACACGACTAATTGCAAATGAGTTTCCTGTTTAAAAATTAGTATAATAGTCCAACTGACCCTATGCATTTGGACGAATTAAAAATATTATTATAGACGTTAACAATTAATAATTACATAATTAAAATCTCTTACCTAAAATTTTTGGAAACAAATATATACAGTATTTCTATATATAATACTTTTTTCGAGTGCCAACTTTGTTGATCGTTATTAGCGTAAATGAAAATGACGATAAATTACACGTGATTACTGATTAATTATGTTCTTATCTAATATTAAAATTACTATAATCCTGTAATCAAATATACATGCGTCATAAGTAAAATATGATAGTATGATATATACAATAATTAATATCGATATGATGGGTAAAAGCATTTTTCAAAATAAAAACTGGGATTTCTAAAATTTACAAAGTAAGATTCATCTAATATTAGGGAGAAAAGTGCACAATTATAGCATAAATTATAAATAAAATAAAGAAAAAACCAAACAATTAAATTAACGTACCATTATTTTATAAGGATTGTAATTAATGAAAGGAACAGTAAACTTTTTATAGTTCAACACATGAAATAAATGCATCATATAATGAATATCGGTAAAGATAATAGAATTGTCATGTCTAAGTAAAGTGCTGATGCCATTTTATTAAGCACATATTTACTAGGTTCCATACCATATGCAATTTAGGAAATGTAAATAATGCATCAGCTTGATGAACGCGACCGTGTCGTAAAACGCCAAGCCTTGGTATAATATCCCATTCCATCATATATGTGCCATTCACACCTCTGCAAAAATATAGAAAAGCATTAATATTTATTATCGCGACAAATGCAAAAAGAGACATCATACCTGAAACTTGGAGTAATGTCATTGAATGTATTTATCTCTTGATGCAATTGTAGAACGGCAGAGGTTCGGTTTCGTATTATGAATGACCATAACGCAATCTGATTACGAGTCTATATTTTTTCAATAACAGATAATCAATATAAGGACTTACAATAATATATGAAATATAACCATTAATCATACATGAGTAGGTGTCTCATATTCTACTATTAATGACACAAAGATTGAATGCGTATTAAAAGTGAAAAGTGGTGTAAAATCTGATTAATTTATCAAAATAAAGTTAATAACGTATTTAATTAATTTAGTTAATATAAAATCTAAGAGTTTTACCGGCATCAACGTTCATTTCCACTAGTGCGGACTCGTAAATTTCTCTATTTTCATTAAATTCATTCGGTATAACTTTGAGAATCTTGAGGTCGACGCGCGGTGAGATAGGTGATGGTGTCGGAAGGATAAAATTGGCGAGTAGCATTACAAAAAACACGGTTGCCGCGTAAGTTACAACAATCCATTTAATAAACTTTATAATAAATTTTATAACACGACCAACGTAGATGTAATTTTTGCGCATTTTGGGTGTTGACCTTTAATCAAAGTACGGACTTGAAAACACCGAAATTAAGCGTTACTTAAATGTTATTCCCGATATGGTAATTTTCATGTTACTAAAATACGTGTTGTGTTTTTCACGTGAGCAATAAGTTATTAACGTCATGGATAGCGGCGAAACTTCTGAGGTTCTTTATTAAAAAAATAATTGAGAACGGGTGTAGGTTTGAAGCTGAGTTTATCAAATTGAAATTCGATTCTGAGATGCGTCAGATCAATTGATAATCTATATTTTAATTTTAATTTCTATGATCCTATCAGCTATGGCATTTATTTTTATATCCAACGCCAATTTTTATAGCGGTATTATTGGGTGCACGATTGCTTTTACAGTTTCTCTAACGATATATAATCCGTTGAAATATGATCCAACTCGGTGTATTTATATTTGATATAGTGTTATATATATCACGAAATAGATATTTTTTAAAATTTTATTGATATCTGATATATACTGTATATACGTAATTGGATCTTCTTTAGTACGTATAGGTGGGCAATTACTATATATATACAGTATATATATAAATTATAAAAACTATATAACTATTTTGAGCTAATTTAAACTCTAACTCTTACTCTAATCTAACTATATATATTTATAAATTTGCTTAAATTTGTTCAAAATAGCTAATTTTAATATCTGATATATTATTATAACCTTTGAAAGGTCTCGCCGTGACTTGATCTCTTAGTTTTATTATATATTTTATAGTAAATACATAGTTTAATTTCTAAGACTAAACAAAGCCTGACATTATCCAAGTATGAATACTCAAATGCAACCCATCACACTGTGCCTCTAAGAGCTCAGAGTTTAAATTAGTTCCTGTTTAAAGGTTTTTACTTAATTTTTTCTATCTAGATCTTGGCAGAAAGGTTTTAGACTAGCCTGTTTCTCTATTCATATAGTGAAAAGAAAAGTAAAAAACAAAACAAATATAAGAAAGGTGAATAAGAGAATATGATTAGAAAGGGGGAACTAACTAAAGATGGAAAATAACAAAAACCTAAATGTAGAGTTCTAGAAAAAACAATAGAACAAGATAAAAAAAACAAGTAAAAACCCAAACAAGGCTAACTACTATTTTTTTAAAAAATTATATAATACTATGAATAGAAGAAGTTTCTATTCTAGCTCTATTCTGCATTATATATTCTGGAAAAAAAATATAAAAAAAACTTTCTAAAACTGTAGAGAATTAATAGCCTATTTATACCTATGCCAAGGCCTAAAAAATTATATATTAACTGCAACTAATCAATATATCTTGTTTGTAAAGCTTTACTTTATTGATATGGACTTATTCTAATTATATCATTGGAGTTGGGTATCTTCTAAATAGAGATACTGGTCCTTTCCTCATAACATAGCACTGTGTTAATAAACAAAACAAACATGTGGTTGTATTCTACTAAGTTCATCTGAATTTGATAAGTGTAAACAATGCCAATCTTTTGGAGAGGGTGAGACAAAATGCCCACTTTTTGTCAAAAATTTTGGTATAGTTAGCAAAGAGAGAGAAAGAATAGAATAGTCATACTTATATTATAAGCAAGAAGTGTGAGTTTCTTTGGCTAAATCAATAGAAGTTTTTGTCAAAGCATACATAGTACTAAGTTTTTGATAAGTAATAAACTTTAAACTTGTTGGCAGATAGCATATGAAAACTATCTCTAAATAACAAATGCTATACTTGTAGTAAGTGATAAACTCTAAAACTACTGGCAGATAGCATATAAGAACTATCTCTAAATGATAGTTGCTAGCTTGTAGTCCTTTTCCTCATGTCTTATAGTCCAGTATCAACTTTTTGTATATTTTTAAATCCATAAATTTTTAAGAAAATTTAATACAAGTAATCATTGAAAAGAGTTTAATCATAAATAATTAAATATCTGATATAATTTTATATTAATTTTATATTATATATATACATATACAGTATAATATATATTAAAGAATTAATTTATTTGTAGCCATAGACTACATATATCAAAATAGTTTTTTTATATATAGAAAAATTTTGCAACTATATTAAATTAAAAGAACTAAAGTTAAGGTTTGAGATTAAAGTAGAGTAAAATTATAAGAAAAGCATTTTTACTTAGTTATATAATAGGGTTATCCTAGTAAAATTTCAAGTTATTGTAGCTACAAATACTATAAATAAGTGAATATAGATCAATTTTTATATATATATATTATCTAAAAAAATTTTATGCAAAAATTGAATATATATTATATATAAAAGTTTTTAAAAATATAATTTTTTTTTATAAAATTTTTACAATATATACATTAAACTTGTCTAATTATAATCATATAATTTTAAACTGCTGTTATACTCAAAAAAAATATACTTACATATATTGCTAATTCTTTCTAGAATAACCAAAATTTGTCTAAGTTACATGATATAAATAATATATAATTATTACCTGATTTCAATTGAATGTTATTGTAATAAAATTAGTAACATAATCATTAGTAAAATTGATTGATGTTTACTCTACTCTTAAATACAATATTTTTTTAAATACAACTTTTAATTCTAAACTAAATATACAATACTATATACTAGATTTTTGTAAATATAATATTTTTTTTTATTAAAATTTGGTCTTTATAAGTTGTATTTAAAGAAGATTGACTATATATATTAGACTAATCAAACTACTAGTTTTATGTATTAACTACTGTATATATATATATAGTATATAGTAGTGAAAAATTATAACAATCAATTGTCAAATATAGAAATTTTTTAAAAATTAAAAAGTTTTAAAGGCTATAGTAAAGAATCCGGTGTATATGTTATTTGAAAAATCTGCTAATGATTATCAAATACGAATTTAGAAAAATTTTACTATTAATTTAATCGAATATTGACTTATACAAAAATCCTAAAATAGACTGATAAGACCTGTAATACAAATATTGAAATCTTTAACGCCAAAACGTGTAAAGAGTATAAGCCTTGCTTACTAGAAATAATTTAATTCTGAATAGATAAAAATTTAGAAATAATAATTAAAATTTACATTGTAGTTTCAATAATAATCGAAAAATTGAAATGAATATATACAGATTATTCAAAATGTATTTAAACTTCAACTTTTTACCTTTAGAAATATTCATGATTTTTAACTTTCAATTTATAACCTTTAACTTTTAATATATATTTGAAACATATTTGATAATAATTTCAATCATAATATTTATACTACTTTATATCTCAATCGTTATTATTAACTATCACTTTATCTTTTGACAACTTCATTAGCATACAAAAACTAGAAATATACAATTTGAATATTAGTTATTAGCTATACTTCGTACTTCTATAACATATATTTTCTTATATTGATATCATATTTTACTGTATTAAATATTATAACTATCACATATATATTATTAATAAAGAAACCGTTTATAAAAGAAAAATCATATTGATAAAATAATATCAAGTGAATTAACTAGTCATCTAAAGTTAATTAGTATAATTAATTGTAACCACTACTGAACTAAAGTTACAACTACTAACAGAAGTGAATTAGCACACACTTACTGCGTAAAGATTCTAAGAATAGCTACCTTAGAAGACGTACTATATTGTAACCAAAGTATTAACAAATTGATGATAACAATAACAATCAAACATATAACAATCAGAAGACAATAAATGAGAATAATCACCAACTTCACGATTTTGAGAACAATCCAACTAATAATATTCATAATATTAATAATTTTAGCCTCAGAACAAATAAACAAAACAAAGACAACAATACTAGCAGACATAATTGTAATAAGCATACCAGCTACTTCAACATCAACAAGCTCCACAACAACAACAAGTACTACAACAGATAAGAATACGCCCACAGAGAACAATTAAAGCAAAAAATGATAACAATAATTGTCGCAGCTGATGCTGAAAACGGCTGATACTAAAATTTTTTCATATTTTATTATGAATTTATAAAAAATTTTAGGGTCTTTTTTGTACACTTTTTTTTCATGGTAAGGTTAGGGTTAGTAGAGTAGTTTTATTAATAAAAAAGTATATGTAGATTTTAGTAGGTATTATAGATTTAAATAGAGACCCCAAATTTCAGCATGAGCCATTTTCAGCATCAGCTGCGACAATAATTACTGCAACACAAAGCTCCAATAGCAACACCATTAATTTACGATTATTAGCAGAAATATTGGGAATATTAGCAACAATACTAACAACAATAATATCAATACTTATATTTTGTATCAAAAGAATAACAACAAAATACAAATGCCAACAAAAGGGAAAGACTTGTACAATCATCAAGGACAACAATTCAGACCACCACATTATGATAACATAAACAACACAGACCCATTTGATATTGAACAATTAAACAGCTCACAGTACTATCAAAGACAACATAGAACAAAGTGAATGCAAAAATAGCCAAAGCAGCCTTAATATTAACAGGAACAATAATAACAACAGCATTAACAAAAGCCTTATTATTATTACTACCTTACATACAAAACATAATAGCCATATCAATATTTGAAACAACTGCAATAATCAGAATACCTATAGTAATCTATGTGCATTGACACCATATGACAACAACATTATCAATAATACCAATACCAACAATCGAAGACTCTAACAATAGTATAGACTCTGTAACAAACCCTGTAGCATTTAAACTACTAGCAATATTAATAATATTCATATTACTATATGCAATAACAATCCTACTTAAATAGGCAACCAAAAGTTGCAGGTATGGCTAGTCGTACTCTCACTTGTAAAAAGTCAAAGAGCTTAAATAGGTAATCTCCTAGTTAGATTGCAGGCATGGCGGCTAGTGTAGAACTCAGGCGGACTACTTAAAATAGACAACCAAAAGTTGTACGTGTGGCTAGTTGTACCCTCATCATAATTGTAAACGTTGTTAATTATC